TGTTTGTTCCGAGTCTTTCCCACCAGAAGCAACGGTGGCAGTGCGTGCTGCACCATCACAGAGGAGTGAGTTGCTGACTTGTTTGCCGCATGGAACCGAGCCCAAGCAGTGCAGGGAGGCCACTTTTTGATTTTTGCACGTTTTGCCCTTGGCTTTTCTTCCTTAGTAGCGATGGCCTCCAACCTACAGTGATAGCTTTTTGTTTGCAAGTTTTGGTTTTGCTTTTCTCTAAAAGTTTACTGTACTGTTCGGGTTCGATCGCTGTGGAAAAGGGCCGGCCGCGATCGCTGTGGCTGTGCTGTCCGCCCTCTGGGCCTTGTCCGAGTCTGTGCCAGGCCTTGTTTCCTTGTCCGCCTTTGCTTTCTTGTGGCCATGAATTCAACAGGGATGCAGCGGTTCAAGTTTGTTCCCAAGCAGCTGGGTGCTATAGTATACTGTGATGACAGACGATTCCACAAACAGTGGAATTTGAGGAATGGACGCAAAAATCCTGCTGAAACTGTTCGGGGTCTATATGCTGGTATAATTCGGGTCTGTGTGTCCTGTTTGGCCGTGCCGTGGGCACGCCTGGTCCGGGGCTTGTCCTTCTTGGGCTTTGTGTGTCCATGCTTGGCCGTGCCATTGGGCCTTCTTTGTCCAGCCTTCTCGGTCTTTGTGTCGTCCGCGTTGTCGGCCGCGCCGGTTGTCCTTTCTCCAACGCCTTGTCTGGGTTTGTTTTCCTGTGGCTATGAATGGATAATGGAACAGTGATGCAACGCCTCGGATTTGACGTCATTTTTCAACCCACACAAGAATGTTTTTTGCTCAGATGCTGTTCCCAAACAGCTGGAGGCTGTAGAAGTATATAAGTACAGATGTACAGATGTTTCCACCAACTTTGAAATTCAAGGAGTTGACAGTTTGGGGTCTATGCTGGTATGGGTTCTGTAGGCGGGTTGTGTGCAATCGAAGGAAATTTGGTCCACTGGCCGATTTGGAGATTTTCTCAAGTTCAAAGTGGAGGACACGGTACAACTCTCCAGTCGGTTGGCATGATATGCGTGTGCGGCCAGCAATTGGCCACAGAATGCCAAGGTCATTTTCGGACATGGCCCCCTGCAGCTCTGGTCATTCTTGTTCCATGCAGGACAGAGAAGGAACTGCATATGTTCCTTGGATGCTTCAAGGCTTGGAGCTCTTCGTGGCTCGGCTCCAGGACTTTTCAGGGTCCAGAGTCTGTCCGATGCCTGGCGGATTTGCTGGTCAGGTTCCTGCTCCATGTGCCAATTCCTCTCAATGCACCCAGAGCGAACCACTTAGTTTCCTGCAAGGGTGAACATGGTTACACCAATATCATTTGTAAGTAACATCGAAGCCTGTTCAGGTGATGCAGATCGACTGGCACGACTGGAAGAGCATGTGGCCAATCAAGAGTCTATGATCAAGGCTTTGCAGGCTTGGCATGCAAATCGGCAGCCTGTTTTGTTTCGTAGAATTGGTCTTGAAATTTTGGTGATATATATATATATAGCTTTGCCCTTGGCTCGAGGTTTCTTCCGTGATTGTACTCACACAGCGTTGCAGTATTTGTGCCACACTTTCTCGTGCATGTGTGTTTGAGTTTGGGATGTTTGCTTTCCATTCACCCTGATGTCCGTGAAGTGAAGGGATTGGCTTGTGCGGACTGGCTGAGTTCTGCCTGCTCGTTTTGCATTCTTAAAATGAGTCTTCAAATCAGTAGCTTGGGGCTTTCAGTTTTGCCCAACAGCCCGCAGCTTCGCACTGCAACAGCGGAACTTTTCATCCTACTTTGCAGGTCATAATTACTTTCACAATCTCTCCAGGTTGCAGATCACAGGAGATGACGGTGCTCAAACGCATTGTGTTCCCTGCTGGAAGACTAAGGAAATCGCAGGAATAACCTACACACACATATACATAGGGCTCCTTTCCCATGCTGTTCACGTTCTGTTGGCGGTGGAGTCTTGCAGTAGATGACTTCCCTGTGGCACTTCATGAGGCGGAACTCTCAGCTCTCCGTGCGCACATGAGTGTGAAGCCCTTAGCACGTGGCAGCTTTTTTGTGTGTGGACATGACCCTTCATTTGTGTGCTCAGGCAGTTGCGACAGCCTTTGGAATGCTGGCTTCCAGATAAAGTCCATCAGACACTCATCAGCCCATGATTCGTTCTTTGTTGCCACTGTCAGGTTGTTTGGGCATTATTGCGCCTTACAGCTTGGTCAGATCAATTAGTTCAAATAGTAATTAGTTGCGAAGCTGCATCCAATTGGCTGCGAGCTGAAAAGAGGCTTGCTGGGGCGGCAGGAAGAGCACTAATCACCATTAATCCATGACAGTCTTCAAGATGCAGAGATTAAGCCGAGGTAGCTGTTTGCGCTTCTAAAGCATTGCATGCCGTGTTGATATGTCACAATCAAGGGCAGATGGGCACCATTTGGGCCGCTTAGGGCCCCGGGCTGGCGAAGCCCTGGGGGTTGGGGCTGGTGCCCCGGCAGAGCAGCTTCACTCGCCATAGCAGGACGTGCCTTGACATTGGCTTAGGCCCCCGCTGACCCAGCCATGAACCCAATGATGGGAGTCGCAAGCTGAGAAGTGTCACACTTCCGTCCCATGTCAAAGTAGCACTACGACCTCGATGTGAATACCTGTGCCGTGATTAGGGTGGAATGGGCTGCGGCGGATGTGGGGGATGTGGCTGCGGTGGATGTGGTATGGGAGGAATGAAGATGGGTATGTGGCTCAGAGAGGGTCGTTAGGAATGCTGGAGCCTGGCAGCCTGCATTGCTCTCCAAGGTGGCTGTGGTGGTTGTGGCGGGTGTGGAATGGGATGTGGCGGTTGCTGTGGTGGCTGCGGAGCAGGCGGAGGAGGGTGTGGCATGGGTGGATGCAACAACAACATGATCCTTGGCTGAATGGCCGCGAGTGGTGTGCCATCATTGCTAGCTTCTGACCATCCAAGGGGCATGGCCATGCCCTCCAACTCAATGATGCAGCAGCAGGCAGTTTTTTTAAATGTAAATTTCCCGTCATTGGTCTACATCAGCGTCAGAAGTTTAGGGTTGAGACTTCCGCACTACGCGCGCAGATGGCGCAAATGTCTTCAATGATGATGCCCATGATGATGGCGCCGGACTTAAGCAAATCGATGGGCTGTTTTCACTTGACGATGTCGCTGAGGGCGGAGGAGGCATGGGCAACATGGACGAGGCATCGAATCTTTGCACCTCAAGTGCTGGCTCGCTAAGTTGTGAAACTGGGCCATGAGAGTGAAAGGGACCAACAAGCATCCAAGGCATTACCAAAAGAGTGTCCTGTAAAGTTGTTTGTTGTTGTTTGTTTGGTTGGTTGGTTGTTTTGGGTTGGGGTTGGGGTTGGGGTTTAGTGTTTGTGTTTGTGTTTGTGTTTGTGGTTGTGGTTGTGGTTGTGGTTGTGGTTGTTGTTGTTGTTGTTGTTGTTGTTGTTGTTGTTGTTCTTGTGCTTGTGCTTGTGCTTGTGCTTGTGCTTGTGGTTGTTGTCGTTGTTGTTGTTGTTGTTGTGCTTGTTGTGGTTGTTGCGGTTGTGGTTGTGGTTGTGGTTGTTGTGGTTGTGGTTGTGGTTTGTGTTGTGGTTGTGGTTGTGGTTGTGGTTGTGGTAGTGGTAGTGGTAGTGGTAGTGGTAGTGGTAGTGGTAGTGGTCGTGGTGGTGGTAGTAGTAGTAGTAGTTGTTGTTGTTGTTGTTGTTGTTGTTGTTGTTGTTGTTTGGTTTCAGGTTGGCTTGTGCGGCTTTCGGCTTGGTTGCTTTTATAGTTTATTGCTTATGGCTTCTCCTTCGCGCTTTCTCTCTTTGGCTATGGCCCTGGCCATGTTAGCATTTGCCTGAGAAAACATGCTTCTGCCCACCACGGTGGTTGCTCAATTGCCTCCCTCCCCACTCCAAGCCCAAGCCGCCCAAGTCCAAGCTCAGGGGTCACCCACAGTGAATCACAGTGAAGACAGGATCCATCAGATAAAGTTCCCTCAAGGCCATTCCATCAAAACTCGAGTGCAGCTTTTCCTGACAAACTCTGCAGAAGTAGACCACGGTTGAGCCTGGCCTTGCAAAACGCTTAAGATAGCAAACCAAATTGAACAAGACAAGGCAGCCAATATATGTGTATGTTTACATACAAATGAACAATGTTGCAACTCCCACCAAAAAAGAGTTGCAAATTCAAGACTCTGGACCCTTTGCAGAGTGACCTATTTTCCTTTGTTTTTCTTGGTGCCAGATGATGAAGAAGATGCAAGAAATGCCCGAAGCTTATATAGTTAAAGAGCGTGATCATCGTGTGCACTTTCTCTTAGCATCAATTCAATCTGCGAGGATGGGCATGGGTTCGAAGACCAAGACCGAGAAGGGTTCGAAGAAGAAGGCAAAGGTCAGGAGAAATGGGAAGAAGCTAGAAAGACCAAAGAATGAATGACATCGAACATGTTCAACAACAGTTCTTTGTTTTCGATGTCATTGTGCACACCTCTGATTTTGTCACTTGCAGCCACCCTTGGTGACCACAGGACAATGCAAATGTTGTTTTCGTGGGTGGCATGTGGCCAAGATCTTTCATCCTGGTTGCGCACCTTCTTGTTCCAGCAAACCAAATCAAAACACTTTCACACACACACAGATATATATATATATATATACACCAGGTTTTCTACGCCGACCAAAGTTTCATGACTGAGGCCTGCGAAAGACTACTGAGGAGGATAGGGTCGCGGCTCACTTTGCCAAATTTGGACAGGCCTGCCCACCCTCCGATCTCCCACAGTTTGACACAAAGCTAGAAGCACCCATGCATGACATTGCAGGTGGAGCAGGTGGACATCAAACGTCTTCCAGATGGAACATCCCGAGGGTTTGCCTTCATAAAGCAAGACCCTTGGATGGGTTCTTCTCAGAAGCTGTATTTCTGGAGTCTGATGAACCCGATCAGAGGTTTGCAGAGACGGATGCCGTTGACAAAGTCATTGAGGCAAGGTACTTTTTCAACGAGTTCCAGTTGGTATTTCAGCCAAGTTGAGCAAAGTTAGTCACAACTTGTTACTCGCTCTGTGTTCCTTCCCGCACAAATATAGCAGATTGGAAAGTTGCATGCAGAAGATTTTTGGAGGCACATGCCAAGCACATGATCGACAACAAGTCATTCGGCAGCGGCATATTTGTATATGGGTTCAAGTCTATACCAGCGCTTCAAACTGTGATTGACTTCAGGTGGGTTGAAGTCAAGAAGCACGACGGAGTCGCAGCATCGGCCGGAGCTTCTTTTTGATGACTGGGGCGACTGATCAGCCCTTTTGCCAGGCAGGAATGACGGAGTCTTTGAACAAGAAGAAGGCACAGAGGGCACCTTGAGGAGTGCACAGACCAAAGACCGTTTGACTCGTATGTTGACTCTGCATGGCTTTGCTGGCTCAAACTGCAGAAGAGCCATGTGCTTTGCATTGAAAATTTGATTTTGCATGTTGGCGATCACGCTGTCTATACAACCGAACCCTACAGCTTGGTCCATTCTGAGTTGGTCCATTCCGCTGAGCTGTGTTCAGCTCCGTGGCATGTGCACCAGTCAAATACAACCTCTTGGCCTGATGCACTCGCTGAAGCACCTGCCGCACCTGCCGCACCTGCCGCACCTGCGTGCATGGAGGCTGGCCGGGGCAGAAACGAAGGACCGACTCCTCAGTGGGCGAGGCAATCGCCGCAGCCGAGGCCCTTGGATCGCCAAGAGCTTGGAATGAATGGCTCCAGCACACGCTGCGGAACTCGGAGGTAGGATCATTTTGGCATTCTGAGAACTCAATGGTGAATGGGCTCATGATGGCTCCTGCGAGAGTTTCAGCTGTGCCAGGCAGACGTCACCCATCAAGCATCGGAGCATGCCACTCTCATGCAGGAGATGCAAGCTTCTTTCAAGGGGTTAGCCGAGGGAGGTTGCCCAAATGGGCCAAACATGTTTGAAGCTCAGCAGCGCATCAGGAGAATTTGGAGTTGATTCGGTCAAGAGAATCATCGGCCTGGCAATCTCAATGCCTTCAAAATGAGTTGGGCAAGCGGAAGGCTGGTGCGGCATAGGGCTTTTCATTGTTTGTTAGCAACTTCGTGCTTGGCACCGATACTGTAATCCTAAATGCAACTTTCACCCTGTGCATGCACATCAAGTATATACAGAAGGTGATCAACTCGGAGGAAGATGAAGGAAAGCCGGCTTTTTGAGATTTTAAAGCTAAGGGTCCTCGCAGTAGGCATTTTAATCCGGTGTTTGATCATGGCTCAGCCGGTGCCTTGGAAAAGCCTATCATGTACCAGGGACGGCTTAGCTTAATTGATCAAGCGTGATGCCAAAGAACTTACAACACTCAGCATGCTTGGGCAGGTGTTGCAGGAAGAGCGAGTAAATGTGCTGCATTTGGCATCTTAACTTAACGTGACAATAGCAGTTCTAGATGAATCTGAGGTGCGGTTCTTTTCGTTTTGCACAACACATCTCCACTTGGCCGACCTCTGCCCAGGAACTTGAATGGTGCGATGAGCTCGTCGAAACACTCGTAGGGATGCAAAGACGGGTCTATGAGACCGAGGCCAGCTAATTGCATGAGAACCTTTGGCAAGACCTTTCATGTTGGCGGGATGCCATTGATAGATGTACAGTATATACTTCAATACTAAGAAGGATGCACACGCATATGCATAATATATAGGTGCTTGTGAGGAAAAAAGCGCCAGTCGCCAGTCGCACATGGAATTTCCAGCATGCAGGGACTGCAGGGTGAGACTAATCATGACATCCTGGAGTGGCAGAGCGAGCTCAAAGTAGCTGAAGGCACGATGCATCCACAATTGTACGGGGTTCCTTTCTTTCAAAACATGGGCCATGCAATGCGGCCATGCAATGCAGCAATCCTGTTTTGGATCTCGCTTCAACGTGGGTGGCGTGGTTTTGCAGCCGTGCAGGTTTGCAGCAATCCACTGCTGAAGAAGCAACTGCTCATCGTTGGGCTGCACTTTTGTGGAGACACCACCAACAAGCTTGGAGAGTGCGGAAGGTGGGTGTGACTGCCTGATTTGGGACACCCATCACCCAGGTAAGCTGTTGCCAGAAAAACAAGTCGTTGGCTTTACCACCCAATTCTTCAATCTCGGTCCAAGCAGTTTGCATGGCTGCCGCAGCTGCCTGCTCGGCTCCACTGCTTCGCTCAACCGCCTCCATTCCCTTTGCCAAGTGTTTGAGCTGGAAATTTCTCTCATCTCTGTGGCATTGAGTCAGGAGGAGGCTACTGCTGCGGTGGCGAGAAAGGCTGAGGAAGAGCAGGAAGTGGTTGACCATATGAAGGCGCCGCTGCATGCCAGTGCCATTTCCGAGCTATTGATTTGCCTTTGATTCTATTGAGGCTGCGCTTCAACAAATGGAGTCATGCCATGCCGGAGGTAACCAGGACAGGAGCGCGATCTGCACAAAATGTACTGTAGCTTTCACTTGAGTGTCGTGCTTGCAGGGGACAACTTCAGAGCTCATGCGGGCTTCTCATTGGTTACGACGAGCACCAGACATCGCCGACAAAGTTTTGAAGGCCGATGCTTGGCAGCTGAGTTGTGCCTCCTTGGTGGTTGGGGCACAAGTAGTTTCAACATGTTTCAACTGTGGGACTGAAACATGCCAGCCAAGCATAAGGAAGACAGATTGAAGAAGGAGCGGAACGCGGTCATAGTCACCAAGGAGCTTGCATGCCCGTGGCGATTCAACTCCGCACTGGCTTGTCAGCCTGCCTGACATGTCATTTTTCTTTACCTCTGTCATCCTATCTTTTCCCTTCTTCTTGCTGCTTACCATGCCACATGCTTATGCAACTCATGATGCATTCCATTTTTAATGTTTTCATCTCAGCGATTGGAGAATTATCGAAGCCCAGCTCATTTGACATCAAATGAATTCGACTGTATATTGTGCAGGTCACTCCGCAGAGTTCAAGTGGAAAGTTAGTTAGTTAGTTTGCTTGTTTGTTTATTCATTATTTTTTGCTGAGCCAACTGCTCTTCAAGGATTTAGTTGGATTTTGTCAGGGCCTGTGGCAAGTTCTGTTTTTTTGTTTTTCCCTCCTTCCATCCCTATCAGACAGTTTGACGTTTTACTGACAACGCTTGGACATGCCGTTTCTTCCTGATCAGTCCACAGTCCCACCAAGTATTTTCACCCATTTGTATCCAAAAGCTACTAGAGAGAGAGAGAGAGAGTCTTACACATCAGCTAGTCTCCGGCGTGGGGTCAAGAAATTTTGAAAGGGCTCAACATTCCGAGTCCTAGCAGAAACCTGACTATCTCTATATACCAGCATATTGCTTGTTCCGTCAGCGACATCCAAACCATCCAACCAAAAGCCTCCAAGAACTGTGTGGGTGCACTTGCCATCATACCTCCATCAAGTCAACAACAGAATGAAAGGAAAGAACGAAGAACTGAGGAAGCTGATGATTGTTGTTGTTGTTGTTGTTGATGAACAACGTTGCCTGTATTTTCTCTTGTGGTGTTTGATAACGATGGCATTCTTGGCTTTTGCTTGGTTTGGTTGGCGCTACAGCTTCAAAGTACGAACAAAAAGCAATGAGAGAACCGCATCGCGGCTCCTTGAAAGACAGAAATGACCTCACCTCGCAGACCTCCCCTCACCTCAACATTGACATGCCCCAGCCCATTTTTCACCAACTTAATCCATCTCTTGCCCTTCAGCTGTTCTAGAGCCTACCTTGCCTGAGGTAGCTCAGATTGCTCCATGGCATTTTTTCACACCTCGTCACCTTGGATGTGATCCTTCATACATCACGTTTCATCGTGGTAGCGTTTGTTCCCTGAGTGGTCATGACTTGAGGTCAAACAGAGCACAGAAAGAAATCTTTGCTCCGTGAGGATGCCATTTGGGCTTTTTCGCACGACGTCGCGCAGAAGATCAAGCTGGTTCAGCAGCAGCAGCATTTGCATCTCGAAGAAGCCGAACTCGTGGACCAAGTTGAGAGGTGCGACTCGACGAGTCACGACGCGTCACGACGAGTTTCGGGCGAGTTGGACGAGTCGTCGATCCGGTGCCCCTTCCGTGCCCTCGGCTGTCCCTAGAGGCTGCGGGAGGGTGACACGGTTGTCAGTGACTTGGGGAGAAGTCTGATGTTGGCAGAGAGGGAGGCTGCCAAGAATGCAGAAGAGGTTCTTGCAACCGGACGACGCCAACTGCAGGACCTTCTATTTTTTGGTGCTGTTTGTGCAAAACGTCCGCATCGGCAGTACATTCAGTTGCCAGGTGATTTGAATGACCCTGTTGCAGAGGAGCAGTTGCATTTCAGCAAAGAGAAGTTGGCAGCCAAGGAGGTTCAAGTGGACCAGCTTCTGGTTGCAAGCACATTGAAGGAAGAGGAAATTGCGAAGAAGCGGGCCAAGCTTCAAGAAGAAACGCAACGTGAAATGAGGCCATGTTGCACTTCTCGCACTGACGTGGTGACAGATTGTAGGGCTTCGTGAGAGCATTCTTGCAAGTGTCAGGAATGCAGAGCAAGCTTCAGCAGCTGCTGGTGGGCTGGTGTCCAGGCCCGAAGCGATTGCGATATCCGGGTATCCGACATTCGATTGATATGATGTAGGAGTAGTGCATATGTTCTGCCATGTCACATCTCAGCACTCATGATTTTCATAGATCTTCCTGCCAGCGTTTCTCAGGCGAGAGGAAATTGTGCATGAGTGTGATGAACTCCGGGAGATGAAGGCCCAGATGCTGGAGACGCAACGGTCCATTGATGCGCGAAAGACCGCGCTACTCAAGGAAACCACGGCGGAGAAAGACCGTGGAAGAGCCTGGGACACGAAGCTTCGCCAATCTGCTTTCGAAGTGCGGGATCTGCGCAAAACTTTGGAGGAAGAGGAAGGGCTGTATCATGAAAGTGTTTCTGCCTTGGAGAGGCAAAAGCTCTCCAAATCAGAGTTGTCAGGCCTCAAACAGCTGAAAGATGCAATGACATTTGCCTCGTATTCTCTGCGCGGCAGTGGCAACCAACTGCTGGCACGAAGATCGTTGCACTCCTCATCCTCCACAAGTTCTCGAGAGGAAATACTAGTTGAGGAGCTACATGCAGCTGAGAACCTGCACATGGAGGCAAGGAAACAAGTGGTCGAAGCATGGCTTCAAATGACCATTTCACATTTCTTTTCGTTCGCTTAATTGTGTTTTTTGTTTCTAGCTACCGTGTACCCAAGGAAATGCGCGCGGAACTCAAGAGGCTCCACGCGGATGCAACCCAGCAAAGCTCAGCAGGCTGGTGAGATGCAGGTAAAAGTTCACTATGCTTTGCCACTGTTCATTCTGCAGCCAAGCAGGCAAGCTGGCAGAGGGTGCAATTCAGGAGCCAAGCACTTGCAGGTAAAAGCATGTGAAATGCATATCATGGGAAGAGTCATGCAAAAACCATGTTGAACACGAAGCACTCAGCAAGCCCCAAGACGAAGCGCGTTGCAAGCTTGGAGACATCTCCCTTTGCCGCAAGGGTGCTGCGAGCGTTGTCAGGATGCCGCTGCAGAGTCACCGCTTCGGCGCCAGCAGCGCTTGCGCGAGGACCGGAAAGCTGCGGTGCGGCTGCAGGGCGAGTACCGCCGGCGCTCGGAGGAGCGCAACGCAAGAGCGCAGGCGGTGCAGGCAGCAGAGCAGAAGAAAGACCTTTGGATCATGTACAGATTGTATACTGTAAACTTGCTTGAATCCAGGGCACAGGATTTGACAGAACCAACAGAGAGCCCCACAGAAGACCGAAGATGCATGACAATGACATGTAGGCCTTAGCGGGATCAGCCTCTTCATTGGCCCTGTCCGATTCAGAGGGTGAAAGAGATGGAACTCATGAGCAAACTGAGCGGACCGTGGCGGCGCCACCAGCAGACTGGCCACGCCCGACAGTCAATTCCATCGCCGAGTTCCTCCGCCTGAGCCTCGTCGAACTTGCTTCCCCTACAATGCTTCGTGCCCCTGTGAATCTGGTGCCCCAGCCATTGGTAGACTAGTTGGGCTTCATCCTTGGATTTAGTGTTTCGATTGACCCGAAAGTCTTGCAGTTGAGGAAGGGAGAGGAGGCGATGATTGCAACTCGACGTGGGGAGATCCACGCTGCCGAAGCTGCTGCATCAAGAAGATGAATAAGGACGGAGAATTGTCCTCCGACTTGTCCACCGTCTTCCCGTTGAGCCTGCGCCAAGGCCGGAGTGAATTGTGTAGTGTGAACTTTCAGATTTTCACTGCTGCATTTCAATCAACTATATACTGTAGGAGGCCTTCAAGGAGGAGCCGAGGATTCTTCGATGCGAGCATCTCAGCGCAACAGGGAAGGCATTCTCTCTTTTTTTCCACCCCGTTCTGCCTTGTTCTGTTACTTGATGTTACTTTAGAGATCCTTAGACATTTGCCTGCCACATGACGTTGCTCAATGCCGCTGGCTCTAGTACCCACATAGCGACCCGTCGTGGCAGAAGTCTAGTGGCGGTGGCGCTGGAGTGCTTTGAAGGCCATATGAGTTTGTCCCAGGCCATTTCCAAGTTGCTGCTTTTTTCACTCCTCCCATGCCTAGATGCAGACCGATGGTCCACAGTAAGGCACATCCTTGACCTTCAGCCTCTAATTCAAGATGTGGCTCTAGTCGTCGGAGATGCAAATGGGCGCCTTTTCCATCATGAGAGGGGTGATATGAAATTGGATCGGAAGCTATGGGTGGCATCATCCTCCAAGATGGTTTTTGTTGTCAGGGCCATGCAGGAAGTAGAGAGGGGGACGGTTGGATTGCATGACCCTGTGAACAAATACCTGGACTACTGGACCAAAGACGGCAACGATCCAAGATCTCGTGTTACCTTGTTCCACTTGCTCAGCTTCCAATCTGGATACACATTTGGCCTCCGCAAGTTCGACTCTTGTTGGCTGAAGCCTTTGTCCAACTTCTCGGCTTGTGTTGAAAGGCTATATCATAGCTTTCCTTTGGGTGCGGAGCCTGGCACTGTTTGGGATTACAATGAGTTCCACAACCAAGTCGCAGCGGCAGTTCTGGAGAAAGCCCTAGGGAGACCGTTGGGCACCTTCCTTTCAGAAGACTTGCGTTCATGGAATATGACGCACAGCCACTACGCAGATCACTTTGGCCCCGGGGGCCCAGATGTGAGTGGTGATTTGGTCAGCACTGCAATGGACTATGAGCAGTTCATGGTACGATACTTTGGAGGGCGCTTGGTTTCAAACAAGACCATGCACTTCATGGAAGAGGACCACATGCCAAAGCGCTGTTCGTGGTCTTCGCTGCCCATGGTCATGCCGCAAGGCCATTATGGGATTGGAAATTGGTGGGTGTGTCCCAACGTCTTCCCAGGATTGCATCATACCAACCTTGGCCCACTACCCCAGCGATGCCGCGAGTCACAGGTTCATTCGGATCCGGGGATCTTTGGGTTTTGGCCTGTTTGGGATCGGCGTTTGGGCTACTGGCTGCTTTTCGCGATGGCGGGTGTTCCCGTGGTTGCAGATGTGAAAGCAGAGCTCTTGCAGTTGGCCCTGAAGCCATTCATAGATCGAGCAGTGAATGGAACAGCTGAGGCTGATGCCTCTAACCTCACTGAAATACTAAGTTGGGAGAAGCTAGTGGCTGATTTGCAGCCTTCAGCACCTGTGCTGGTATAGAGCCCGATCGCAGGTTATGTGCAGATAAAGATGGCTCGTCCACAGTGCTTTCATTGCATCGCTGTTTCCTTGTAGTTTTTTTCAGACATCCGAACCTTTGGTGAGTTGCAAGTCTCGTGCTCATGTCATTACGTTTGCATGCGCTAGCGGGGTAGACTTGTGAGCCAAGGTCCCAGCTGGTCTTGTCCAAGAGCCTGTAGCTCAAAAACTGCCATGACTGCAACAGGAACTGAGCTGTCCATGCTGCTTCATGTCGATGCTCTTTTCTTAAGTTGCTGTGATAGTCCGATTGAAGCCATCCGACGCTTTGCTCACGGCCCTGTGCTTGCAACTATGGAGCACGAAGTGACTTAGTGACTTCAAAGCATTTTTTGTAGTCACTATATATGTAACTTAGGGCTTAGAACGGCAGCCACCTACCTTGTATAGTACTCGGAGTGCAGCTTGGAAGTGGAAGCAAGCAGTTCTCGCTTCACCTGTTGCTGAAGCTCGAAGGCCCTTGAAGCGCTGATGTGAAAAGGGCTCGCTGTATGTGCTTAAGACTTTTCAGTCTTCGAGATACAGTGGTCGGAGGCCATTGCTATTAGGTTGGAGGCCATCGCTCTTAGGTTGGAGGCCATCGCTTTAGGGTGGAGGCCATCGCTTTTGCTCTCCTGCAAGCTCCCCGCCTGATGCCCCAGCGGCCAACATGCAACGACCGTCGTTAGACGGCCTTTCTCGGGACAGGCAGACGAGGATGAACCTGAAGAAAAGGCGAGTTCAATGACTTTATGAACCTTCTTGATTCTCCATGTTGCTCCTGCAAGTGTTTGGTGGAGACTACTGCCAAGCAACAGGCAGAGAATCGGGATGATTGGTCAGAAAAATGGCATGCAGCCTACGTGTAAGTAAGTGTGACTGCAGAACTTAATCTGACACTGCCCGAGTAATTCCTCAAGAAATCTTCACAAAGGTCGCAGCAGTACTTGGAGATGGCTTCAAAGTTTCGGGACCGAGCTTGATTCATTGAACATACTGGGTAAGCAGCATCCCAGGATCCCTGCCTTTCCATTTTGCTGAATTCTCTTTGAACCGAACCGAGGTTAGGGGAGATGGAGCAAGGTGGTGAGAAGAAATCCTCAGGTGGGCTGCACGGCCACAGCCCCACATGGAAAAGGGCAAGTTACTTCACCACTGCTCAAAGAGCACTTGCTGTAGATCTCTCTCTCTCTCTCTCTTTCTTTTTGTCTGGCTCAGGTGGCATATTGTTTCTGTAGTCAAAACATAAGCTAAAAACACATAAAACCACATAAAAACGCAATCTATGAAGAAACAGGTGACATGAATTCAGCGTTTGAAACCTATTTGAAAGAGGCACGGATCAGGCTGACATGAACTTGAAGAATCCGACGTGAGGCCTCTTAGCACGCGGAGCCCCATGGCGCAACGTGCTCCATGCACTCCATGGGCCGACGTGACGTGGGCACTCCGCTCTCGTCCTCCTTTGGTCAACCAAATCCAGAGCGGCCCAGTGGCACCGCGTACCAGTGCGGCACCAGCGTACCGAGCTTCATACCGAGCCTCATACGGCATCGCGGCCGTCATGGGCCCTTTTCTGCTGAGTAGGTTGAAGAGACGGTCAGCACGTAGGTCAACTGCCTTGATGGCATACGATTTGGATGCGTGGAAACGGGGTTTCTTTGAGCCGGAAGATGTGGAGGCAGGGTTCTACTTCATTGATGATGTGGACTTGCCCAAGGATTTATCTGGCACACTTTTTCGCAATGGGCCAGGGAAGTTCAAGGCAGACAATGACATGGTGACACATGAGCTTGACGGTGACGGGCTAGTCCTTGCGATCTCTTTCCTTCCGGAAGAAAAGCAGGTGTGTGTCAGACACCGTTTGGTTCAGACACAGGGATTGTTGCGTGACAAAGTGAGCAAAAGAATGTATGCCAAGGGGTATCACGGAACACCTGCTGGAGATGGTGGCTTGCCCGGCGATCCACGGAAGAACTTTCCAAAGCATACAGCCAATGCAACCATGATGGAGTGGGAAGACAAGGTTTTGGCAGTTGGTGAATTTGGCAAGCCTTTCGAAGTTGATCCCGCTTGCTTGGGAACTGTGCTTGGAAATGAAGAAGAAGGTTCATGGGATATTGATGGAGCACTGAACGACAGTGGGATGGGTTCTTGCCCGAAGATTTGCGGCACAGAAGAGCCACCCGACCTGTCAGCTCGGGATTTTTGGAACGTTTTTCCTCAACCATGACATGCACCACACGCGACACATCCAGGTCCAGGTCCATAGTCATAATGGTCACAGTATGTCATAGTCTTTGCAAAAGATCCATGCTGCGCTCACTCAGTGTTGCCTGCCACGGTTGTCCGAAGTTGGTCTGAGCTACTGGCACTTTTTCGTGGCAACTCGTGTTCTTTTCAAAGTTGTTTTCTAGTGGCCTTTGGAAGCTGTATGCTTGACCAGAGCATCTTTTGCGCGGAAGTGTGTGTTTTGTCCATACGTCCAAACGTGGACGATTTGCACAAGTTGTTTGTGGGACGAGGAGTTTTCCCACTTCCGTGATGGTTCCAGGGAGTGTATTTTTCTGCAATTATCTGTGCGCCCACGAGTAGGCGAAGGGACTTCTTCCAAGTGACATCAGAGCTAGCAACTAGCAAATCTAGTAGCAGAGTGCTCTTAACAGTAGAGGATGTGACAATATCGAATGCGGAGTGTAGGTTCGTTGTCGGAACCTATTGGAATCACACCCAGAAGGGACCGCCATGGACGGCCCAATACTTCTCAATATTTCTCAGTGGCTTGATGTAACAAGATCAGCGTTCTTGTTGGACCTGGTCACTGAGGTGCCTGACGTTCATCTCTCAAGCGCCCTCTGCGGTCAACACCACTGTTTGCTACTACGAGTTTGCTCCAGGTGCCTGGAGGGCCCGGTACCGGAAGCCACGGCAGATCGAGGTGGGCGGCTACACGCGTTTTTCGGACTTCGCCATCACGCCGAAATGGTTTGTGTTGGCGAAGGCACCTTTGAAGGTGGATGGTCTGGGTGCAGCTTTTGGCAAGACCTTCAGCGAGGTCCTCGAGTATGACCCGTCAGGCACTGCGGAGCTGGTCTTTGCAACACGTTTGAGGAAAGAGGAGGAGGAGATTGTGATCCCTGTGGATAACCTCGTGTGTGATGAGTTCGTGAATGCTTATGAGGAGGGTTCTCCGGATCGTGTCATTCTCGATATGGTTGCTGCAGATCGCTGGGATGGCAAAGCCCACGAGGGAGCGCGCCCCAGGTGGGAAGAGCTTGACAGAACTTCTTGGCCAAAACGTCGATTGGTTCGTTACGAAGTGGATTTAGCATCCAAGACATGGACCAAAACAGAGGGTCCATTGCAGAAGAATTTGAGCTTCACTTGCGTCAACCCTCTTCTGAATGGCAAGAAGCATTGCTTTGTTTTCGGAGCGGTGTCACAGGAGGAAGTGGGGCCCATGGGAGGGATTGTGAAGATCGACACTGAGACTGGCAAAGTCGATGAGTGGCTGCTCAAACCGGCAGAGTTTTGTGGAGAACCCCTCTTCATCGCTAAAGATGGCATGAATGAGGAAGACGACGGCTACTTGATCACCGTGACATTTGATGGTGAGAAGAGCACCAGTGATGTAGTGATCCTAGATGCCAAGAGTCTTGCACAAGGCCCCATTTGCCGCTTCCCGTTGTCGAATCCAATGCCTCATGGGCGACGAGGTTGTTGGGTGCCCAAGTTGAGCTACACAGCTGAGCAGATGAAGCGCAAGTTTACTCTAATGCGAATGTTCGAGAAGAAGTCGACGCAATGGGACGCGATCAATATGGGCTTTTCAGCACTGGGTGCTCAGGTGCTTTTCGCAAGGCAAGGCACAAGGATGCGCTAATCGAATTCCTTAAGTGAAGGGAAAACCAATCCGGCAGTTTTCCCACTAGTTTTGCTTTACGAAGTCAATTTTCAAATTTTCTGTGCTGTCGCTACCACAGTGACTGCGAATGAATTCTATGGCACCGCGAGCGCAGACATTCGAGGACCACTGTAAGTTCGCTTAAAAAGAGTGTCGGCTGAGCGACAGAGGCGAAAGCCGATTTCCACGGTTGGTATGTAAGCAAATTCCATTGACGGATGGGTAAAGGCTGCAAGGCTGTTTCCACGGATGTACCAGGTACAAGTGAGATGGAGCAGATGATGAAACAGATGGGCTGGCACCTGAGTCATCCCTTGAAGCAGTGCGCACGCGGTCAGACACACATGATGATCAGTGGGATGAGCTTCTTGCATTTGAGGTCTTGATCCGTCCATGATGAAGCAGATGGGTGGGGCTCATTGACATATTGAAGCACAGAAGCAAGCGATTAGACTCCAAACGTCGCTCTGCAGTCAAGGTATGGACCCCAAGTCCATGCAGGACGGGGTTGAACTGTTTGCCTTCAGAGTTGCCACTTCAAATAGTTCTTTAATGACAGTTTTATTTTCATGAAACTTGCGTTAGTCGGAATTCGTGCGCTAAGAATTAATCCTTCAAAATTCAAGGCTGAAATATGTTGAATCAGTTTCTTTTCCTTTTTGGGTGAATTTGTGAGCATGTGCACGCAGACTATAGACGGACGGACGGACGGATGGATGGATGGATAGAAAGAAAGAACATAAGATATATAAGATAAGATAAGATATTAAGAAATAAAAAATACATAAAGAAAGAACGAAAGAACGACAGAAAGAAAGAACGAAAGAAAGAAAGACAGATAGATAATACCCACCACAGACAGAAGAAGGACAAAACGATTTTAGGTTGCTTATGTCTGAGAATTCCATGACAGGGAACAGCCATGACGGGGAACAGATCTGTTCGGGTTTGAAAGAATGTGAGTTTTGACTGTGCTGTGGTTCTCGCTTTAGAGGAGCAAGTCTCAGTTGTAAGCTTGTACGTAAGTTGCAGAGCAGCTTACAACATTCTAGAGTCTAGAGGATGTCTCAGTTCGTCATCAATTCTTTTTGTCTGTTTTACAACATCTTTGTGGGCGGGTAGCGTGTTTGTAAAGTCGCAGAGTCTTGGAGGATTTGTGATGTATACCGTGCATGTCAACTTAGTTATATATATGTGTGAGATGTAGAGTGGTGTCTTTTCGTGATAGCAATGTCGTGATGTGCGGGGTGGCATTGGGATGTTGCGTTGTATACGTGGCAAGATTTAGGCTTCTTGCGCTTTTTTGCCGTTGCTCGCAACTTGTGGTGACTTTTGGCCACATGTGATGATCATTTTTGTGATTTGTGAGGTGATTTCTTGTGAATGTTTTGGTGAAGCCTTAACCTACGCCAACTTCGACACGTTTCGACCCCAACAACTCCACTTCCTCCTCCCAGCACCTTGACCTCAACTTCTCCTCTTCCCTCCAAGAATGCACATGCTGCAGCTATTTTTGTTAGCAACTTCCTAGCTGGATCGTTGATGCTGCCTTACTTGGGTTTTTCGTTTGATCCGAGGCTGCAAGTTTTTACTTTCTTTCACCCATGAAGGGTGAGGACGGGTTAACGCATTGACAGATCCCTCGTTGAGCATGCAGGAAGTGCCCATCTCTGCATGGGCGTCATTTTTCACGTTCTTGGCGTGTAGCCTGGCTCTCGCAACGGTTTTGACCCACACATGCAATCCCTGAAGGACTAACAGTCTCTCTCTCTCTCTCTGCTAGGATGATTGCATGTTGATGTCCCTGGCGTCGTACTCAGCTGATATCAGCAGGTCTCGCACCTCCTGGCTGAGCCTGATGGAACACAGTGGCCCTGAAAGCACCTCACCCATCTCATCCCCTTTAACTTCTCTCCTTTGGAGCCGTGATTTATCTTCACTGCTACCACCCTTTTTTGACCTTACTGTACTTGATACATTATACCGCTCTTCTTGATTGATTTTTCGATTGTCTCTTGTTGCGATGTCTCATCTTGCTATGCCTTTCCTCATCCTTTCTCATCTTGTGACCTTACGCACTCACGCACCTCAACATCCCATCCCATGGCACTTCACCCGACCTCCTGTCAACCTCCGAAGCCTTGATTGGCAGACACCCGAAAGTTTGAATGGCTTTTGGCTAACAGTCGCAGGCAACAATGCAAACATGAGCTTTCCTCTCCTATCCACAGGAGTGAAACAGTTTGGTCCAACAGTTCTGTTGAGTTGTGGGCATGGCGCAAGCACCAAAGAACGGATATAGGTTCTGCATAGTTGCTACATGTAATGCTGTATTGATGAAGAAGATTCAGTGAGCACGCATGAACAAAAGCCGTTTGTTTTTTAGTGTGAGCCCTTCAATTGCTCGTGCACCCTGAGAAAATGATGAAGCAGATGGGACTGGATCCAAGCATGCTCAAAATGATGGGCATGGACCCATCGATGATGATGCACTGGCCCTACTGGGGTACATGTAAGCCTTGTCGTTGCCAGTGCTGGCAGGCTTGCCCCAAACCTCGGATGAACACCTCTCGCACCTCCAAGGATGAACATGATGAGCATGATGAACCCGATGATGAGCATGATGGGCCGCTGGGTAGCAAACAACGTCCCAATGTGCCCACTAGAGGTGTGTGAATGCAGCCCGAGGTGGTGGCATGGGGGGTGGTAGTGGTGGTGGAATGAGCAAGCTGCTTCCTCAGTGTCAGAACGTTTGCAGCCACTGTGCACAAATCCAGTACCGTATACTAATTCGGTGTGCATTGGCTTTAGGGCATGAATACGAGGTCCATGATGAAGCAGTTCCGCCCTTGGTGGCTTCATTTGCTCTCATTGGCAGTGCTCATGGCTCATGCTACGAGTCAATCAGGATGGGCATGGACTCAAACATGATGCAGATGATGGGTATGGGCAAGAAAAGTCTGCCCCCCCAGCGAGAAACCGACACTTGGTGAGGGGTGCATGACTTGCAATTGAATTGCTGTGCGCTGAGGCGACAAAGATGGGGGCATGTTAGAAGCTTGTTGGACCGACAGTTGCGGGGAAATCACAGCATTGTTTTGGTGCAGAGGCCCGCTCTCGACAACAAACCCATGCTGGGCGCTTGGCTTCATTCGCGCTTATGCATCTTTTCATTTGCCTTTTGCATCCTTTTGCCAAGCATTTTGAGATTGTACTGGAGTCCCCTTCATGCATTTCCATCCAAGCATATCACATTGACATGATGTATGCAGCCATTTGGTTTCAAGTCCCGCACCGACCCAGCGCACCCTTTGTGTGGCCACAATGAAGCGCCGCTTGGTGATACTCCAAGTCGCCAAGTAATCCTCCTGAGCTGTTGCAAGTTGTCCCAAAATAAAACTAAGAACGACATCAATCATCAAATCAATCATACGAAGAAATCTGAGCTCTTCTGTATCCCTGTCTATCAGTACTTACCTGCTACTAGCTAGCGACCTATTTTTGGTAGATCACCTCATGTCCTACCTCCCCTGCCTCGGAAAAGGCGCCTCCGACGACTGGCACGTCCTACGATGACTGGCCTCACCCGTGTCCCACTTCAGGCAGCTTGGCGTGCCTTGAGTGGCTGGTCCACGGCGATGTCGAGGCAAGCTGTCGATCTGCTCTCGATGTCGTTTTTTGTGGGGCAATGCCTCGGAGCCAGGCCCGCTCCAGGGAGAACCACATGGACGAAGTCTTGAGGAAAGTGCAGAAGGAACGGAGCTTTGACGGTCAGTTGTGGCGAATCATGTCCCGTTGGTCTTTAGAGCAGCCCCAAGAGACCCCCCAAGGAGTTGTATCAGGAGTCTAGCATAGAGTTCCGTAGAACGAGTTCTTTCAGGAGACCTCACAAGACTTCTTGACATATAATATAATATAGAGGTCTGCTCAAAGTACCCCAACAGGCCCCACTTCGGAGCTTTCACAAGACTTATTTTAATTAAAGGGGTCCACTCAGCAGTTCTGACACTAAGAGGATGAACATCCTCCACTCACGAGCTTAGTCTTCGCAGGCCCGTTTTCGAACCCCATTCAATGCAAAGCCTGCGCATGTGATCGCCACAGACAATAAGATGTGCAACCTTGCGTTGAGCCCTGTTCTCGCAGACTCGCTGGGCTAGGAGCTACTTGTAGTATGGAATGAGCTGTGTCGTGGAAGGAATGAATTGTGCTCATGTCGTCATGTTTGCGATCTCCACACGGCTTGCTATCGTGCCCCACACGACATCTGAAACGCACGTCTTCCAAAACGCGGTTGTCCTGCACGATGCCCTGCAACACATGGACAAGCAGTTTGCCGGGCGCTGAAAAGCTGTAAGCTTATCGCTTGGCACAGAACCTCACAGATCATCAACATGCTGAAGGTAGTATGCCTGCCACGAATATTCTGTACTTTGAAGCAGAAAGGATTTGACCTCGCACAGCGCCTTCAAAATGGTCTTGGTGTTCCTGCCCGGGCAGGTGACTGGGGTGACAACGATAATGTGTTTTGGATAGAGATGATAGAGATGGTTTGCTGGGCTCAAGTTTCATGCGAGACTTGCCTGTGAGAACCCTGGATCTCGTGGAGAACCCTCCAGTGTGGCCACACTGTGCGAGGAAAATGTAATGTAGATGAAGCTGCGGACAGGAACAACTTGTTAGATTATATTCTTCCTGAGAGACGATACGTACTCATGCGACCCGTTGTGGCACTGCGCGGAGAGGGTGCTAAAACCCCCCCCAACCATGGGCGCACGGGGCGCGTGAAGTGGTGTATGCTCTTTGCAGTTTGCAAAGCTTCAACTCCGCAGGACCGAGCGACAATGATCTCGAAGTTGTTGGGTCTGCCGGAGGTGAAGCAACCCAAAACAGCGCTGCTGAAAGCAAAAGCGTTGCTGAAGAACCTCGATGAAGTGTCGCCCGGCGGAAATGAAACACCATGTGCTCGATGGCAATGTTGTTGGCGGCTCAATGCACCGTTTTGCCACAGGCGTTCGGACTGTCTGTGTGAGAATGACACGGCGTGGAAGAAAATTATCCAGCTCTCGCTAAAGGTTGGAAGATGTCAACTTTGAAGGTGTGAATTCTTCCAACCCACTGCATTGGGAGGAGAGTCGCTCCACGGATGACGCAAAGGAGCTTGCTTTCCTCATGGCCCAAAAAAGGCGAGGAAAGCCAATTTAGTTTTGCTGTTTCTATTTTATGACTTCTTGTGAGCACAATAGCTGGCAAATGCTGGTGTAGGCAGTCTGAATATTTGGCAGCGCACTCCAAGAATCTGCACCTTCTAGACGTGTAGCACCCTCAATTGAGAGTGCAAGAACTACTTCTACAGGATAACTAGGACTCCTTGCAATCGTTAGTCATGGAACTCAGGCTCCCATACTTAGACAATGACGTGGTGGAACAGATCCGCGAGAATTTCAAGCTTCGATGCCACTTCGCATACTTGCAGTCCGGCAACAATTGGGTTTCTTCAGGCCTCAGATAGGCCTAAGGTGACTCAGAAAATGTTGGGTGGAGACTCTAATCAATCTTTCAGCTGGCCATTGCCAAAGCATTGCCATGCTCAGGGAGTGTATTTAGCCTATGCATGCCTTGCATGCCGATGCCACTCTTTGCAAGAAAGTCTTGCTTGCGACAGATGTGCATGTCTCATTTCACCACCTGTGAGGCCAAGAGGGTGCCGCGCCCAAGAGAGGCTCCCTGGCGGAAGCGCAGGACCCCGAACTAGATCAAGTCACCAAAGTCTTGGTAGAGTCTCGACTGCACCTGGCATATCGGATGGGTCCAAGTTCGAAATAGGTTCCACCGGTTCCGGGGTGTTGCATTTAGACTAAGGACAAGTTGGAGCGTGCATGGGTGCCTCGGTTCCACTTTTGCTTATTTGCTTGCTTTCTTTTGCCATCGAAGTGTCCTCCCTTCCTAAGGATGAGAGCCGAGAATTGGACACAGCGAAAAAGCTGCGGGACCTTTACACAGAGCAGAAGGAGATCCAGAAGCTAATGTGCCTCTTCCAATCGCAGCCAGCCCTCTTAGATGACGACTATGCATCCACAGTGGAAGAAGGCACGGCACGATGTTTGGCGCAGGAGTTCTCAGAAACGCACAACAAGCCCGCTGCTCTTTCCTGCCTGACGAGCAACCTTGCCACGTTTTCCTTAACACTTGGCAAACGATGCCAAGCAATGACAGAGTTGGCCCAAGCCTGTGAATACTACCGACTTGCACACAAATTCGACCCCGACGAGGCTGTGGTGAAGCCGAACGCGTGCCTGTGCGAGGTTTTGCTGGAGCTCCAGCGAACTGATCACTTCGTAGACAAAGAAGAACTCCGGGAGGTCTTGGCTCTCGCAAGCCGCTGGCAGATCATGGTGCAACTGTGGCCTTTGATTGGCGGACCGCCCCACGATGCGCTTCGGTCCTGGCAGACACAGCGAATCAGCCTTCTGGCAGAAGAGGCCAAGCGGTCAAAAGAGAGCTCAGCAGCGGACATTTTCTTGTACCTCTCCCAGCGTCAGGACGCAGAAGGATCAAAGCAGATGGCCTTTGAGAGCGCGAAGCAAGCATACACACTCGGAGCGTCCTCCGCTCAAGAAGACCTCGCACGCTTGGCCTTGGAAGTTGGCCGTGTGAAAGATGCGACCGACACCATTCTGAAGTCCAAGTTTGACGAAGAGGCCCAGTCTGCCATACAGGCATGCATGAGCATGATGATGGCCTACAGCGACCAGGCGCGGGGCCGACCGGGGCGACCGGAGCCCTCGCCACAGCCAGAGGAGCCATCACCCGCTTCCTGGAGTGACAAGGCAAGACCAAGACAGGTCGCTTTGAGAGGTGGAGACATTTTGACATTTTCTTTGAATCAGTTTGTGCAGGTTCATGATAGCGGATACGCCTTCTCCTTGTCTGTCGTAGGCGCATGGAAAGCGTGCCGGCCAGCTGCGCGAGCAGCATCCGGGCTACGTGCCGACGATTTGCTCACCAGCAGTGAATCCTCTTTGCGAATTTCCGTCGCTGGGCTTCACATTGTGCATTAGCATGCCTTTGCTTGAATGAGCAGCATCAGTGCAGGTTGGTATGCATCGTAAACGAGAAAGTGCAGCTGTAGCATATCAACGATTTGGTGGCGTCCACGTTGAGACAAATTACTCCGTTACCAGCGAACTCATGGATCCTGGAGAGAACAGAAACATGATGAAGCGTGCGAATCATCAGGAGTCAAGGGTGGAAACCGCCCAGCCACCGACCGTTTGTTGTAAGTTTCTTGGAGACTGGCCTGAATCAATCCAATCAACCAAGCAGCCAACTTCTGCAGTGAATGGAGCAAGGGATGCAAAAGTACCAAGCAAGCCCGGGGACCACAAGTCAAGACAAGTACGGACGACCTTCGTGCAACAAAAGCAAGGATGATTGATGACCTTAGAGAATGAAGCAGGTCCAGATCACTTGGAGACCCCGTTGACCGACCAAGTAGTCCAGAAGGCCAGTGAGCAACATGAAAGGAACAACCACCTGCTCAGGCACATGAGATCACTTCCACAACTAAGACTGCGAGGCAGCCAAACAGCCAACTTGGGCCAGCAACTGATCAGCTGGGCATGACCTCAAAGCAATATGAAGGAGAGGTCACCCTGCGCACGCAAACATTTAGCAGAAGAACTAACCCAGCACGCAATCAACCAACCGCTATTCAATAAGACTTTGATTTGAAGGGGTCCCTACAAGGTCTTTCTGAGGGTGTTGGCTTCGCACCCTGTGCAGCCCCCATCGGGAGGTAATCAAGACAAACATAGGACACAAGGAGCCAGGGTAACTGCAACCAACCAAAGACCGAGCTGCTGACAGCACACTAAACTGATGAAGGAAATGTGCGTTCCAACCTGCATTGCCTCTTAGGATGACAGATTTCTTCAAAAAGCACCTTGTCGGCATGCGATCGGGTTTTGAAAGGCTTTTGGGACCCTTGGTGTGAGAGTTGGTGCATTCCCAACCTGTTGCTTAGCTTCATGGAAGGCCGTGGAAGTTTCTTCAGAAGGAAGAGTATACCGTGCTGGATCTGATGCTGGACTGGGTTTGCACAGCATGCATTTGCCCTTTTGTCCAACGCACGTCTTCTCAAAATCCAGACCCGTCACCACCCAAGGAAGAAGAAGATTGAGAAGCGCTTGTCAGAAGCAGGCCAGTTCGCAGATGCCAATGCTCAGATTGTTTGTCAGATCCCGTTTGGTTGACCCTCGTTCGGCTCAGGCACTTTGCCACCGATTCTGGGTTCAGCCTCGGAACTCCGGCCACCCCTGGCCGATGCCGAAAGGATCGGCCGGCTGTTTGAAAGGCACCAGCGGCAAAGTTGCCCTTCTCTCAGCTGCTCAGTTTGAGTTCGGCGGAATATCGTGAAAAAGGTCGCCCAGCCTCGGTTGTTTGACACTGCCATGGTCAGGTCTTCATTTGCATTATACGCTTGACAAGCTTCCCCATGGTGGGACTCGCCTCTTGCAGAAAGACTGGATTTATTATGGTTCCTGTTTCGTGCTGCCACATGTCTCACCTCAGCATTACAACGTTGTTCCCAGCCTTTTCTGGACCAAGGATTGGAACTCTTTGCCGTCTGAGCGTAGCATAAACATGTTACATTCAACTTTCGACGATCTTGCAGTTTTTTAGCGGCCTCTGCGGAGGTTTCAATTAAGCCTTGGAAGATTGCACCACTCCTATGTTGCTGTGGCGCCAAGAAACCTTGGTCCGTGCATATAGGATTCACAATTAATTGATGATGCACATGCATGTTCCTTTTTTAGGGCCCATGGCAGCATGTTTCAGGACCGCGTGTCGGAGTGAGGTGAAGGTCACCTGATTATTATGCACCTTTTGGCGCAGACGTTAACCAGCTGGCCGAGTGCAGATGCGGACTGGCTGAAACATGGAAGAGTATCGCTTGACGAGTGTGGCCCACGGGACTTGTTGAAAGTGGCCCCTACCCGATGAGATGCTGACTGAATGGCGAGGTCGAAAGGCCAATCCCCTCCACGGGGCCGTTCGGGAAGCAGACATCGCTCCAGAAGTGCGAGGCGCATGAAGTGAGCCAGACAGATGTAAGAGGCGAACATGGCCTTAGTAACAAGACAACGCTACGAACGGGGCTCCTGGCATCGCTACTAGTAACAAGGTTCGCTAAGAACGGGGCTCCTGGCCTTACTACTAGGAACAATAAAGGAAGGGACTTCCGACCGACCCTTGGAGCCAACGGCGTCAGGCGTGGTCGTTCGGGCAGTGCCAACAGAAGCCCGGACCTCAGAGTGTAGGGTGACCTCCCAAAGACTTTCTCAAAACAGATTGAAAAGCGGACTAAGACCCATGGGCCCATGGGTTAGGGGGTCTCCCTACCATCGTTCAGGTTTTTCACTCAAAGACGCACTCCTCGCTCGACCGTGGTGAGGACCCCGCTCTCCGCACCACTCCGGGCAGCGACCGGAGGACGGTCGGTCATGAAAGAGCGATGAATTGGTCGAGTGGTTTTTGGTCGTTTTTGGTCGCGTGCAACGGTCTCGAGACGTTTGGATGACTTTGTACTGAGGGTGGAAAGTTGGTGCCTCAACCTACTGCGATGCTGGAGAAATTCATTTGACTCACAAAACTTATAAGACTAGATTGTGTATATCAGGCTTCCCAAACCCGGACTCAATCTCTCCTATATCACCTCTCGGCAAGCATGTCAAGGCCCCCCGGCCTGCCTGGGATGCTTGGTGCCACGAGCCTAGCATAGTTTTTCTTTGTTTCAACTCAGTCAGGAGACAGCAGCTGTCAAGAAACCCTTGTTGCTTTCGTTTCGATTTCGCATCAGGCGCCGCAGCAGTGCCGTGCCCGGAAGCACTCAAGTCCAGAATTCATGCAACAGAACTGTTGAGGGATGCGATTGACCATGGCACCCAGGAACTCACTCTTCCGGCCAGCGGCCCCGCAAGCTCCAACGGAGGATCCTGCCAAGGTGCGCAGCCCTCATCGGATGGCACAGGGGAAGCCCTGCCGGTCTTTGAGCCAGGTGGCTGCTCGCAAAGCCGCTGCGAGTGCTGCAGCGGCTGCCTTCGCCATGGCTGCCGGGAGGGTGGGCACCTCAAAGACGATGTTCATGGACCCATGGACCGATGAATTTGTATGCAGTGGAGCAATGTCGTGCAACACTTCTTGGCAAGGTGGCCGAGACCTCCCGTGACGCTGCGAGGGATGCTGCGACTGCAAAGGCAGCAGCACCCCAGATGCAGCACTTCACTTGGATCTGCCACGCCTAAGGGGGGTTGAGAGAACTGTTAGACTTCAACACAGTTGATCGCCCCTTGATGCCCCAATGCCTCATTTGGATCGCTGAGGCCAGACCCCAATGACCGACGGCCTGTTGGCTTTGAGTCTGCACCAGCCTTATGGCGCTTCTTTTTCACGCGGCTCGCATTCTATCATTTTTTAATATTTTACAGTATATGCGTTCTTGTTTGCCGATACTGGCTTATGTTGTGCTGATATCTTTGGCTTCAGTTGAAAAACACACATTGTCAGGGTGAGGGCGGACATGGCAGGTACGGCCCTTTGTATCCGTTTGCCTCCGTGGCATGCTGCATGCGCTGGCGCCCCACCAAGGACCTGGCATCCGGACCCTCTCAACCCTCAGATGAAACCGCCGGTGAAGCTTTGGCTGCCCAGTCCTCGGCAAGGATGAAGCAGTGTCCTGTGCATTGGCAGCATGCTCTCCTAGGCCGGAGCCCACTGTGCAGGAACAAATTGCGTCTCCCAGACTCAGACTTGATCCCACGTCTAACACACCACATCGAGAGATCTTTGTCGACAAACACTTTTGCCAGAGCAACTTGCCTTGTTTCGGAAATTATCTTAGACAAAGGATGAAAAAGGTAGGACACCCAAAGCAGCTAATATACTTCGAGGACAGAGTCGCCAGCTGTGATTTTGGAGTTGCAGAGTTTCCACCTTTTCTCGGCCAGGCAGAGTTCGGCACCGGAGCTGCAAAGACATCATCAACCACCTGCAGATGATAGGCGGAGGAGTGAGAGGCTTAGGGCCAGAGCAGATAGAGAGGAGAATAGCTTGACATGCTTGGGTAGCTAGATGGTGACAGTCACCAACATGATTGGGACAAGCTTTCGTTTGAAGATGCTGGCAGCGCAGCTGAACATGTTGAGTCAGGTCCTCGACGCAAGAGTCGCAGTAAGACTCCAAGAAGAAACCGCAAGGGGCTCAGGGAAGGTTGAGGGAGGAGGGATTAGCTGGAGCCGCGGGGCCAAGGCGAAATTAGGGAAGACATCAATGTGAAGCGAAGCACTTGTGAATTGAGGCAAGAAAAGCAGTGGTGGTTGGGACAACGAGGAGGCAGCAGTGGCAGCGACCCGCCTGTGCTGAAGCAAATCCATTTTGCATCATTTTGCATCATTTTGCAATTATATATCTATGTCTATCTCTATATATATATATATTTATAGAATATAGCTGTCTCTCTCCCTTTCTCTCGGTGTATGCATATACATGTATATACATATATATACACATACATACACGCTTTGTAGCCAGGGAGAAGCGGCCTTTTTTTGCAGGCCGCACCTGCACCAGCACCCTCTTCTTTTACAGCACAGGCAGCTCCATCCAGGCCACATTTTGACTGCACTCCGGCCAGATTGGGGGATAGAGTCAAGAGTAGTTCAGCAAGATCTGGCATGGCGAGGGAACATGTAATAATATGTAGATTTATTGTTTTCAATGCATCGGTTTTTGGATTAGTGCTGGTGGCAATTGAAACCCGGCGGTGCAGATCTTTGCTCACACTTTGCAGCTGTGACCTTTGCCTGTTGCACTTTCACCCTTCCACCTTGGTCCCAGATGACAGATTCGTGGAATTTCCAGACATCTACCTATCTATATATGTAGATACATAGGTATATATTCAATACATTATGCACATGCAAAGTATGTTTATGTGCGGCATGAGCCATGCCGGGGTCACTCCAAGATGAGTTTATATAGATGGGGAGTTCAGATAGGGAGAGTCCAAATGTGTAGCTTGGCATCTAAACGCTAGGCCGGCGTTGCCGCCAGGAGCAGTCCCGGCCTGGGTGGCAAGCAGAAACTTAAGGTAAAGCTAGAGGGGTTCCAAACATGTTTGCCGAAGCAACAGCAGGGAAGACGGGAAGACGTATGTCAGCCAGAACCCTAGCACTGCCTTCAATTTGAGGCTCCGCCTATGCTGCCAGGCCCGCCTACAGCAGGAGGAGGCACGACCTAACTTTGTGGAGGGGCAAGGGCATTTTATCCGTTGTGCCTGTGGTTGGAGGTCAAGTGGTTCCTGTGAACCGTTTCGGAATCCCAGAGGCGCAGATGGAGTCATGAGAGGCCATAGCTCCATGCTCTAGCTGTAACGAGGCCACACCAGAGGCACTTGCTGCTGCAGTCTTCAGAGCGCAGCAGGCGGCTTCCTCTTACATTCTTTGACCTTTTGGTTCTTCATTTGGGTTAGTTTTGTCAGATAGAGCAAGCGTCACATGCTGAGGTAGAAGCTGCTGGCCTGGAGGCGTAGACATGCCCTCATGCACCTAAGGAGAGCATAACATAGCAAGGTGCTGAATGAAGCGAGACAATCAATCAAGATGCAGAGATACAGCAAAAGCCAGCTATGTACAGTTCCATAGAGCCAGGGCCAGGTTTGGGGCCACTGTGAACAAACGCTCAGCAGCCATTTTGTTGTCCAGGCCATCCGCTCGACAGGCAAAAGCTTTGTATGCTTCGTAGACGGTGGTTTAGTGTGCTCAGACAACAGCATGCGGCGAGCTCTGTATTGTTTTAATTTTGTGCAGTCTGACGACCTCAGGGCAGATCCCCCGGGGTCCACCCGATTTGCCGACTGGAACGGTGAGGGTGCCATGATTGGATGGTTTGCGGCGGATTCAAGATGCAAGTGATGTCACAGCCCTTTGCCAGGAAGTCATTGAGCAGAAGTGTGTTGCATATTTGATCGGCAAGGGTGGTCAGGCCTGAGCTCAAGCAGAGTTGGGTTCAAGCAATGGGAAAGCCGACTTTCATGAAAGGTAGCAGTCAGGGGGGATACCTTGAGTTAGTAAGGGTTGGGGTTGTCCGATCATGACATGATTCATCCATTCTACCGTCCCCGGGTTTGGGCTCGACATAGAAAACCCCGGAACTGCGGGCTTCGACCAGGCCCTTGCTGCTATCAACGCTGCTGCCGGTGTATCCATCCAGATTGCCTGCACACCCAATGTGTAGCCGTGCAGTTGTGAAAGCTTGGATAAGCTAGAGGCTTTGGAATTATGCTGCACAGATTGAAGACGGCTCGTATGATCAACCAATAAACTAACGCAAGACCGTGAGGACGTTGTGTCCGCAATTATTCCATCACCAGGACCAAAGCACCAAAAGCTTTGGCTGGAGTCACTTGGCTGCCAACCCTTTGTGATCTCAAGCTACATTGTCCTTGGGTTCCTTGATCCATGATTCAAGAAGGGGTGTGCAAGGCATGGCAAACATTTACGGCACAGAGGAAGGAGCAGCAAAGGCGATCCGTTTTTGTTTCTTCTTTATCCTGTCCCACACCTGACAGCCACTTCTTCCAGGCCAAAATGATCCTCAGACAGAAGGTGTCGGAATACCGTCCTCTCCGTGCGTAGGACACGCCTCAGTTTGTGCTATGACAATAGTGTGAATCTAGACATGTTATCACAGCTTATATAGTGATTTTTTGCAGCTAAGCGTAGCTAACCTACGCACTGAGCAGGACCAGCGAGAGAGTGGTTTTGCGAGCATTCCTTCACCTGCAAGGAAAGGAGCAGGCCATAATATCTGCCATTGCTTTGGTCTGGGTTTCTTTAGTGTTGATCCAGCAATGCTACTACAGGAATTAGGTGGTGGACTCACCCCCTACTACTATGAACAGACTCCACCTTCTTTGTCCAGAATAGTAGGAACCTGACCCAAATGCACCGCCGTCAGCCAGGCCGCTTTGAAGCCATGAGCTATCCCGTCGTCTGCGTAAATGACGCAGAGCCCATTCACACTTGTGCCGCTGTGATCTGTGTAGCGTTTGTAGCCTTTTGCCGGAGCACATCCATATTGACTCAATTGAAGCTGACGTGGCACGAGGGAATGTTGCCGGGGTAGCTGTGGAAGATGCGTGGCATATTTAGCCTGCTCGCGGAGCCTGTGAAACGCATGAGATGCGGAACTCCCATGAGCACCTCGAGCAACATCGTGGGGCCCAGGTTCTGAAAGTCGACGCAGGAGCCGTTCTGAGCCCATTGCAGTCCCTCCAGACGTGTCGGTACGCCGGTCTTTTGGGCCTGTTGCTGTGCCCTTGGTGCCCTTTGCGTGCTGGTGCGCGAGCGAGGGGGATGCAAAAGAGCGCATTTGCCTTCCATATGCCAACGTGGACAGTTGACATATCTGTTGTGAGTTTGGGTGCCTTGAAGTCCTGCAACACTTCTGACGAGTGACTAGCAGGATGCCAATTACCCGGTCTTTCTTCAGTCAGGGCTCGCCAGGTGCCTTGTAGCAGCCTGTCTCCAAGCTAGTGACTACATCGGCACTTGTGCCTGTCAGTCCGCTCTGCAGGGGGCTCCAAGCATTTCGAGCACTGACGTTGAATTGACGCTTCTAGCTTTCAGATTAGTCATGAATAGCCAAGACACTGGAGACCTCCCTACTAAGGCTTGAACAATGCAGTGATGAGAAGGTGACAGATGGTCAGTATGTTTGGGGGATTCAGGCCAGAGGCTTCACGGCTTGCCTTGTTATGCACTTCTCATGTGCAAGTCTAGTTGATGCAAGCTCTGTGAAGAGCTCCACTTCGCACCTGGGGTTTCTCAGGTTGCCATGCCTTTTTGCAAGCCTTGTCGGGCTTCTTCTGGGCCAGGTGCTCTGGTGCCACGGTGTAGATTTGCGAATTGATCTATGACGGACATTCAGCAACTTTCTGACGACATGGGTGAACCAGCACCTAGCTGCATGATTGAAAGCTGTACTGTACTCAATGCATTCCCTCCATTCTTAGCTTTGTTTTTTCACTTATGAGTGCTTTGCATGTTTGTGTGTATATATATATATAGATATTTATGTATTTGCTTTGCGACGCAGCTCCTGGCTTGGACATGGTCTAGATACTATGGAGTGGCTTTGTGAAGTTAAGGTCTTGGCATGATGCTTTAGAGGGTGAATGAGTACCCTACCGGGTATGAGGGACGCTGAAATGCTGTATCATGCTGTATCTATATACAGTATCTATAATTTACCCTTTGTTTTGGACTGCCAGGTTTCATGACTGACTACCTAGTGAAACTATAACTATACCTTGCGAACCGGCCTTACTTGTGGCTGCAGTCTTTTCAGTCAGTGTTTCGGCCACAGGGGGCAGGATCAACCATGGCAAGTTCAAAAGCGCTGGCGGAGGCTGGCACCAACATGTTAAGATCCAGAAGCTCATCGAGCCTCTCAACCCCTTTTTCGTCCAGATCCAGTTGTAAGTTGTCACTTCCCCCTGATGTGCAAAGACACAAAATTGAATATTGCCATGGCTTGCCCAGGCGCGGGAGTGTATGTTGCTAGGCGGTCAGGTCCTCAAGCTTTAGATTACTCACGTCTCATGGTCTTGATTGATGTTTGGGCCTACAGGTTTGCCACATGCTTGGCTGATTTGGCACCTTCGCGGTTGCTAAGGAAGTCTTGACCTTTTCAGAGAAGCTGGTGTTCAAAGACACATGCCAGGGTTGGACTGGGGGTGAAGTCAGATTGATGGAACAATCAGGTCAATGAAGAACCGAACATATCCTGGTCATAACTTGTTGCACAGGTGTAGCTTCTCTGGTTGCCCTGCAGCATCTGAAAAGGCGATTGCTTGGCCGCATTTCCAAGATTTTCGAAGTGGAGCCTAGAAGGTTATGAAAACGGCTTTGCAACCTGCCAGTTCTGGACTCAAACATACGGCAAGTGAAATGGTTTCTTTCCAGTTTTGCCGAAGAATCGTCGCTGGCGATTTGCACAGTGGCAGGTTTTCGGCAGTTGCGTTGCTCCAGAGCTTCCTGGCGAAGATGCTCGGCCCAAAAGAGGCCAATAGGGCGAGCAACTCCTCACAATGCATCGCCTCCAGAGCGAAATCTTTTTTTGGGGACTTTGTTCCTAATAGCTTCTTGTTCCTAGTGGTATGGCCAGGAGCCTATAGTAGCGTTCTTGCTCCTAGAAGCTAGCGAAATCCCGAGGCCAGGGAAATCGCTTGGGCCTCAGCGGTTTCAAGCAGGCACATCATTGTGGCAATAGGTTCGCTGCATGCAAACTTGAGGCCCTGACGTCGGCGTCCAAGAACCAAAGCACAGAAAAAAGCACAGGAGATGAGTCGAATACGCTTCGACTCACTAACATCAAAGTGGATGGCACGGCCCCCATGATGACAAATGACGGTTGTGTCCTCTACAAAGCCGTGGGTTTGGGCACCAGCCCCCGTGTGCCAAGTTCCTCGAAGGGCTTTGTCAAAATTTGGTCCGGCTTCTGCTGCACCAATTCTTGGCGTTCCCAAGTCCTCACCAACCCGGCTTTGAACCCACAGGATTGTCAAAGCTTGTGTATCAAGAGAAGTTTGAGAACATGAGCCGAGAGTGCTTCGTTTGTCCGGCAAAGGAGGTATTTTCGCAGCTTTGCATTTGGAGACCCCATGATATCCCGATTTCAATACGCTGATCTGGTCAGACTCATTTGTGCAAATTGGTCCATGTGGCAACACCTTTGCCTTTCTGGCTCTTGGCAGCTTCTTTGCAAAGTTGCTTTCCCTTTAACACACCTCTTTACTTTGCAAGGAGCACTTCGAAGGACGTGCTGTGAAGTAGAACTTCCATCTTCCAAGCACCTGAGAACTCCAAGCTCCCACAGAACCGGCACTTGCATTTCCAGCCTTCTGCTCGCACGAGGTTGCACGCACCTTGCTCCAACTGTGCCGAGGACGGTGTCAGAGGCTAAGCACAGCGAAAGACGGAAGCTTTGCAGATAGCACCGCCTTGCACATGAGGGTGTGGAACTTGCCGGCCATTTGTGGATGCAGGGCCCCGAGTGGGTTGTCTTGGCCATGTTGGGATGCTTGCTGTTGTGGCCGGGTGAGGGCGCTGGCTGCAGTTCTCCAAGTGCCTCTCCAAGAGATGCAAGTGTCAGTCTGAACCTCTGGCTGAGACGAAATGAGAACTGGATTTTCAGGACTAAGTTGCAGCATATGCAGATGTTGTTGAACTATCGTCGAGGTTCTCCTGATGCGCGATGTGCTTTGGAACTCATACCCTCTCCAGCACCTTCTCTCAGCATTTTGACGGTGTGCTGCTCCGCCTCAGCATACTCCTTGTTGATCGAGGCATTTCACTTTGCAGAAGGGCTTGCAGGTCCGCCGCAAGGAGTGTCAGTCTAGTGTTGAAAGATAGCATCACTTATCTATCTATTTGTCCATTTGTCTCACTCTCTCTCTCTATGTACAGGTATATCGGTATATCGGTATGTCTTGCTTCTGGTACCGGGCCCTCAATTTGTCAAGCAGATTGCATGCAGTGGTGTACTTTATGCACGATCACACCTGGCTGTACCTCTTTGTCGGAGCATGTTCATTTGGAGTCTGTGAGCAAGACCCATGGATTTACTCTGACCTGCCGGGCCCATGTTTCAAGCTTCCTGTGAGTTTCTAGACTCTAGATAAGCTGTTTTTTGCAGTTTGGCCAGGTGCGTTCTCACCCACTAACTGTTTCGAATCAACCTCCTGGCCAGGGGCCACTAGTCACTCCACATGGCGGTGTGCTGTTCAATCCTGCGGTCAATCTTGGGAAAAGGCGCTGCTGTTGGGGTCGGGGCAGTTCTTCATGGTTTTGGTGGCTCTGATAGTTGCATAATGTTGCATAGTTGGAAAAGGTGGGACGTCTTCATCGCAGCCGGGTGCTTAGACGATGCGAAAGCGAGCTGAAGAGAAAACGAAAGCGAACACGCAGCTTGGAGTGGCTGGCTTCAGTGGCTTCAGGTTCGAATCCACACTGCTCGAATAGACCCAGGCAACAAGCTGTGAATGTTTGCAGTCTTTCAATGTATTTTGTCGCTTGTTCCTGAATTTTAACATTGGTCTCTCCAGCAACTGACGTGATTTCCTGTGTTGTTTTGTATGTTTATGTTTATTTTTATTTTATATATATATTTTTTGTTTAAAGGGGGGTATTGTATGGCCAGACTTGGCAAGAACGTACGGTCATCAGTTAATATAATAAACCGGTGGGGGAGGGGTTGTGAATCATGAATCAACACCTGTAAGTTCACTAAGTCGGTGTTTGCTTCCAGGGAACGGAAAATATTTGGAGCTCTTGGCCCAGACCTGAGACGAGACGAGCGTGGATTCGCTGTTGCTTCGCCGCTGTTGGCTTCCTTCAGCTCAAGCGCTCGTGGTCTTTTGAGGCGCTCCACCCGTCACCGATATTAGAGGCCTGGAGCATCACCGATATTAGGTGTGTTTTGCTAAGATTTGCAAGGGACACGTAACTTCAAGAAGTGGCCATCCGAAAGATTTTGCTGTAGCAAGGGACCACATGAAAGTCCACGGCCCAACACCGCAAAGGAATTCATTTTAAGATTTAACCATGGCTGCTTTTCCTTTGTGTCTTGCACATCCCTGCACTAACTCTGGAGGCAACGGGCTGGAGTGATGGGGTAGATGTCTTTGAGATCGCCCAACATAAGACATCCAAGGCCGGATTGCAAGAGTTTGAGGTGGCCAAAACGGTGACAGACTTTGATGCAGGTTGAGCTGATGACGGGTCTCTCTTCGGCGTTCAAAATTCGCGGCCTGCCTTGGGGTGTGAGCCTAATACTGATGCGTCTTTTCGAAACTTTCCGCAACTCATTCGCTCATCGCACAGGTCAGGAGCCTCCCACTGATATTGGCCAGCTTCCTAATTCCTGCAAATGGTGCAGGTTAGAAACAGGATGTCGAGACAAGTGTTCAGCTTTAGATTTAGCGGCGCCCTTCTAGTGCTATGGGCCGTAGTCCTCCGTTGCAGTTCGCCTGGCAACTTTGTGTGGCAATCAGCAAAGCTACCGGAAGCGTCGTTTTCGTGTTTATTTGATCCCAGTGCTTGTCATGCACGCTGAAGGGGCACGCGACACACGTGACACATCCTTTCCATAATTTCTTGAGGCAACTTGCATATTTACGCCCGCCCCAACCACAGCGAAGCACAAACATTTTGTTTCAGAGCACCTTAGCGTTATTTTTGCGTGGCAGGACCACCTCTGTAGTTTGGGAGTTCCTCATCGGAATGTCAACTACGACATACTACAACTCATACATGGGGTGCACTAAAGCGACTCCTCGTTGACTGGTAGAGAGTCCTTTTCTCATGCAGTTCAACAGCCCGCTCGTGGCCTTCCAAAGCAAATCTTTTACTGTAAAACCGTGTTTCACCCCCGAGAAACCAAAGGGTTTACCTGTGAGGGGTTCTTACTCCTTTTAAAGGGGTGCATGCTCGGGCCGGATGATTTTGAGTTTGTCTCCGGGCTTGTGTTCCTGGCCGCATGATTTCACCCTTGTCTCCCACTTGTCTCCCACTTGTCTCCCACTTGTCTCCCAGTAAGCTCTGGATGCTCTCAGTGCTCTGGCCGCATGATTTTATACTTGTCTCCCATTTGTCTCCCACTTGTCTCCCAGTTGTCTCCCAGTAAGCTCTCGATGCTCTCAGTGCTCTGGCCGCATGATTTCACGCTTGTCTCCCACTTGTCTCCCACTTGTCTCCCAGTAAGCTCTGGATGCTCTGAGTGCTTGGCCGCATGATTTCACACTTGTCTCCCATTTGTCTCCCACTTGTCTCCCGGTAAGCTCTGGATGCTCTGAGTGCTCTGGCCGCATGATTTCACACTT